AAAATAACTGTTTGCAATATGAGCCCCCAGGGACTGTGTCAGTACAGCAGAACAAAGCTGTTCCTCAGGGCTACCACGAGAGAGCCACGAAGGAAATTGCTTTGTTACCTGTTCTGTAATTTGGCCTCTGGCTCTTCCCTTCCTTTGAAGTAAAGATTGACTGAACAAAGCACACAAGTAGTGTATACCATGGCCTAGCCTGGTCTGTGTGTCCTGCTAACACACCCAGAGCTGAACCGCTGCCAGACTTGGGATCAGAGGGAAATTTTTCCCCTCCACCCATCTGGCAAGTGCTGTGGGACGGAGGAAGGAGCTGCCCTCCCCCACAGGGTGAAGGAGGCTCTGTGACAAAGCTGCCCACCACACCAACACCCCGTCACAGCTGTCACTCCTACTCTCCCACTCCCCAGCTGTTTTTCACACTCGTGAGGGCACACTTAAGGAGAAGATTAGTGAATCCTCCAGAGCTTTCCACAGCCACAGGGAAGGGTGACACAGTGCTAGATCCTGCATTTTGACAGCCCACAGCCTCCCCCTGCAGAGCCCCTGCCAACAGCCAGACTCACACACTGGTAGAACTCGCGGTAGCGGCCCCGGGTCATGGCGGGGTTGTCCCTCCTGTACACCTTGGCAATGTGGTAGCGCTTGATGTTGGTGATCTTGTTCATGGCCAGGTAGCGAGCAAAGGGCACCTGGGACAGAGGGTTAAGGATGGGAACAGGGAGGGATCATCCACCCTCCAGTTACCAGTCACAGGCAGCGCTGGGTCCTCACTATCTTCCCAAAACCCAGCACCTATGGGGTGAAGAACTGCTAAGAGACAGCTGGACTTGTCACTGCTCCCCGAGGTCTCCACAGCTGTCCAGGACACAGACCACACATGCTGCCATTAAGTGTCCCTTCAGGCATCTTCCAGCAGCACCTCAGGCTGGATCTCAGTCTCATGTGGGCTGTGTGCTGCAGCAGCCTGGTCTGGGTACCCCGAGAAACCCCACTCAGTACAAATCTTCCTTACCTCCACACACACGGGGCATGGTGTCAGGGCAGGGTCAGGTTGAACATTAGGAAAAGGTTCTGCCCCTAGAAGGTGGTCAGGCACTGAACAGGCTCCCCAGGGCAGTGGGCACAGCCCCAAGGCTGCCAGAGCTCAAAGAGCATTTGGACAACGCTCTCAGGGACAGGGTGGGACTGTTGGGGTGTCCTGGGCAGGGCCAGGAGTTGGACTCGATGACCCTTGTGGGTCCCTTCCAACTCAGGATATTCCATGTGTCTAAGCATTCCTTCACCAAACAGAAGCAACACACAGTAAATAACAGAGCAAGGGTTCTGCACCCACTGAACCACACTGCCTGCTCACGTTCTGTCAGTTTGGGGTCCTCCCTCCCCCTCAGGGCAGCACCGCCCCAAAAGGAGGCCAGGCAAGGCCCCTCAGGCTGTGGCAGGATACTGTCAGGTCGTAGCGCAGGGACAGCAGCTCCCCTCCCTGATCCTTCAGATCGTAGATGAGCTTCGAGTCTTCCCCGTATTTCCCCGTCAGCGTCTCCTACAACACAACGACAAACAAACAGCACCTTCAGTGGCAGGGGAAGAGCCCCGGAGCAGGAGACAAACTGAGGGTATCTAGGAGCTGGAAGAAGGAAACTCAACCCTCAACACTTTCAACTGGAGGATCCTCACCAGCTCAGCCAACCTGCTGTGCCCTCACTCACCTTCAGCTCGAACACGGGTGTGTCAATGACTTCTGCCCCGTGGCGCTTGAAGCAGGAGATGATGGCACTGAAGACCCTCTCCCGGATGGCCATTTGCTTGGGGCCGTAGTCTCGTGTGCCCTGGGGTGAGGGAAGGAAAGAGGGAGCAAAGGACACTGTGGGTAAGAGGGATGGAGTGAGAGAGATGCCAGAAACAACAGGAAGAAGCTGCTAGTGGAGTCAGAGAGACCAGGTCCAGATGCCAGGTACTGGTAAAAGGTAGCACCAAAAAACATTGGAAAACATCAGGACAGAGCTCAGACAGAGTCTGCCATGACCTGCAGAGGGAAATATAAGTCAGGAGTTTCACAATACAGGAAACAAAGGAGCTAAAACAGATCCAACAGTCAGAGTTCAGAGCTTCTGAGCCTGGCAGTGCAGCCAGGACCTGCCCCCAGCTCTGATTCACACCTATAAGCCAGACCCCTGCCCAACAAGCCACCCCAAGATGTACAATCAGAGGACAGGCACACTCTGAAGATGTGGAACAATCAGCAGCTCTAAAATTTCCAAACATAGAGAAAAATCATCTTTTAAAATGCAACACCTGTGGAATGCCTGTATATGGTTCACCACAATGTGCTCACTTCCCATTTCTTTGCTTTTAAGGGTCACTGAATTGTTTCAGTGACCACCTTTAGGCTCTCAACAACAAATAAATCATTGGTAATTAACTAGACTTTCCACCTTCACTCTCTAGGACCTGCAGGCAGGAGGAAGCAGAGATTAGGCACTTCTAACCCCCACTCACAGGTTGCTCAGTGATGGGCAGCTTTCAGCTGCCACTGACGGGGCTGAGACAGGCTGGAAACTCAACTGTGTTTCCCTGGCACTCACAGAGCTGCAAAATCCCCTTCTCCACAACTTTAAACAGTGAAATACCCTTCAACTTTTCAGGGCTCACACCACAAATACATTTACCAAAGAACACAATAAAGGAAATGGAAAAGGGAGACAGTTTTGAGACATTTAGGTATCGAGAAGAAATTCTCCCCTGTGAGGGTGGTGAGGCCCTGGCACAGGTTGCCCAGAGAAGCTGTGGCTGCCCCATCCCTGGAAGTGTCCAAGGCCAGGTTGGACAGGGCTTGGAGCAACCTGGTTTGGTGGAAGGTGCCCCTGCCCATGGCAGAGGATTGGAACTAGATGAGTTTTAAGGTCCCTTCCAACCCAAACTATTCCATATTTCTACGATCTCCTATGTCAGTGGCATCACCATAACCTGAGTGATGGTGTTGTTTGTGAGCTGCATTCATAACTTGTCATATAAGCACCAGAAAGTCTCTAAGCCAGTCGGTATCTGGGCTGGGTGCTACCAAAGATGTTTCCACCCCTCTCCCCTCTGCTGCTGAAAGCAAAAGGGAAACAGAAATGAGAACAAAGGCAAGTGTGTCTGTGCTGGGGTTTTGCCCAGAGGTGGGGGGGGGGGTGTCTGAGGGAGGATGTGCACACAGAGAGGCACAGGAGTGTGCTGGGGGCAGTTACCTTGGGAGTCTTGAGCACAAACTTGGGTTTCCCCTCATCTCCTCCCAGCTGGGCCTTCATCTCCAGCAGCTTTGCCACCTCCTTTGCAATCTGGGGAGGGAACAAGTAGGGAGCTGAGGGTAAGCCCACCCACCAGCCCCACTCCCCAGTGCCCACCCCCATCCCCACCATCCACATCTGCCTCCCCAGTACCCATCACCATCCCCACCACCCACATCTGTCTCCCCAGTGCCCATCACCATCCCCACCATCCACATCTGTCTCCCCAGTGCCCATCACCATCCCCACCATCCACACCTGTCTCCCCAGCGCCCATCCCCATCCCCACCAGTTCCCATCTCGTGCACCCAGTACCGGCCGCCTCCAGCACCCTCCTGCCAACCCCAACACCCCCAGCATCCTTCCACCTAACACCAGTACCACCGGTTCCAGTCTCCCCTGCACCCTCAGCCCCCTCCACTTCCCAGCACTCCCAGTTTCCCCCGGCACCCTCCCGGTGAGCCCAGCAACCCCAGCCCCCCCCAGCACTCCCAGCTCCCCCCAGCCCCTCTTCCCCCACCCCAACACCCGCAGCGCCCCATTCCCCGCCCCTCCCAGTCTTCCCAGCACCCCCACTCCTCCCTCAAAGGCACCCCATTCCCGGGAATCTCTGGAATCTCCGGAGCTCCCCCCGGCACCTCGTCGGGATCGGCCTTGTCCTGCTTGAGCCTCCGCACCGCCTCCGCCTGTGCCCGCACCGCCGCCTCCTGCGCCGCCATGGCCGCTCCGGGCCCGCCCCGCTCCCGCCGGGAACTGCGCACGCGCCGCGACCCGGAAGTGAAACCCGCGAGAGGGCCGGGTCGGGTTTACCACTATTAATTTTTTTATTCATTGGCTTGGGGGGGGTTTTGTTGTTTTGTTTAATACGTAAAAATACAGAGTTCCTCCACGCGTGCACCCCCACCTCCCCAGCTCCGGCCCCCTCGCTGATGGGACACGTGCTCTCCGCCCCCCCCACCCCTGCCCCTGTAAAATTAAGTACTTTATTAGAAATTGTTAGCCGCAGAATTTATGTATTTTTGACACTTTAAAAAGAGAGTGTCAGCCGTGGAGCTCGTGTGTTTTCAGTAAAGGTTGGAAGTTCCCAAGGGGAAGCGCGTAGTGTGGAATTTCTTGATAAGATTCGTTACCGGCAAGAATTTCGGTAATACAGAGGCGGTCGCTCACAGCTGTGAAGAGACTGATAAAAGTGAGAAGGGATATGAAACGGATGAGGCAAGGCTGAGTTTAGGCCTTGAACCAGGTCCCTAAGGCAGGAAACCACGCACTCAAGAGAAAAACAATCCGAGGGGAGCGTCCTCTGGGGGGAAATGGGGTGGGACATCCCCTCCTTGAATCTGTAATTAGAGGATGGTATAAAGTCATGAAACCTGTGTGATTTGGGGTCCATCCTTTGGGATTTTTTCTGATGCATCCGGCGCTGCAATAAACGTGTGTGGTTTTTGGCTTTCTATACTCAAAACGAGTCTAGGGAGTTTCTTCTTCGACTTTTCGGCATCACCCCCACTCAGGCTGGTCCTGCAGCCCTGTGCAGCGCCCAGGTGTGGGCTGGAAGGGACTGGCCCTTCCACTGCCCTCCTAGCCCCATGTCCTGGGTCTGTGGGTGCCCATCATGCTCCCTCCCCACTCCAGAGCTCAGCCTGATGATCCCGCTGGATCTGCACCTCTGTGAGCTGCACCATGTCCAGTCTGTGCCCGTGGAAACACCACCTGCAGTGATGGGAATGCCTGTACAGGTGCAGGGACTGCACTATTAGGAACCCACAAGCTCAACCTGTCCTTCAGAGCATTTAACCAGAACTTAAAATTGGTGACTGTGCTGTCCCATAGCTTTTAAAACCCCTTGGCTCCTCTCTTCTCGCTGCCTTAGCCTAGGCAAGGAGCCTTAGGCTGGTGGATGGTAACCAGGCCGCAGCTGGCAGTGAATGGTTAAGGGCACTGCAGGGTTCCAGTTGTACAGCAGTTCAGCCAAGCAGCTCTGGCCAGAGAAGTCCTCAGGGCTCCAGCCTTCTCCTGATCTCATCAACAAGCTTCTCCCTTGGGATATCAACCTACAAAGCAAAGAGAGGGGGAGGTAGCAGCATTAGAACAGAGCACAGTTCTAAGGACCAAAGGCTTGCTTTGGGTACTAACACAGTTTGTGACTGGTTTTCTGGAGACACCCAACAGACCTGTGCTATGGCTTCCCAAATGTCACTGAGGGGAAACCCAGAGTCTTTCAGTGATCTCCAGAGTTTGGAAGCACTTTTGACACCTGGATAAAAGGACATTCTCACCTCCTCTCGTGTTGAGACATCTCGCAGCTTGACCACTCCGTCTGCCAGCTCCTGCTCTCCTACAATGGCAGCAAGGGGGATCCCTGTGTCCTCACAATACTGCAGCTGCTTCAGCAGTTTAGGATCCTTCTTGTACAGCATCTCTGCCTAGCAGGGAGTGGGAAGGACAAATCACTAACCCAAATTTGCTTTGATGGATACTGGAGCAAAGCAGCCACCATGAAACCCTGCAGCAAGGGGTTGCCTTCAGTGCTCTGGGCTGTTCTTCTGTGCCTAGACCTAACGGTTGGACTTTGTGATCTTCGATGTATTTTCCAACCTGAATGGCTCTGTGATCTCAGACAGGCCCAGATCTTGAAGAGAACACAACTAATGGAGTTGATCTTGCTGTGCTACAGCTCCTTCAGGCTCTCCCTCCCTCACCCATGACACCACCGAGCCCAAGTGGTTCCTTTACCTTGATCCCTGCGTCCCACAGCTCGGAAATGAGCTTCAGTCTGGCAGCAAGCAAGTGTTTCTGGGGTGTAGCCACCAGCACTTGGGTTTCAGTTGTGCGAAGTTTCTCCCCAGAAGCCTGGAGGGACAGACACGCTCATGGGAGTGACTGGGTCTGAGGGAATCTGCAGCTCACAGCACCTCACCTCATCTCCAGACCTTAACTCAGTGACTGACAACCTGAGCACCTTTAATGAGCCCCCCAGAGACTCTGCATTGTGTCACAGTAGTTGATCATGTGCTGCTGCTCCCGTGGGACCTCAGTCTCCCTCCCAGATGGGACCTGGACAGATTTCCAAGGTTTCCTTTGATTCTCTAGGTACAAACACATTGCCTCGGCCTCCTCTGCCATGAATCACAAGCTCAGAACTAAACACAGAGTGATGAATCTTCTCAGAGGCTTTCCTGGGGTGCTCATTACAGAGTGAGTGTCACAGACAATACTGAATTCATCTCTTCTCAATCTCCAAGACAGGAAACTTCACAGGCAAGAGAGGAGCAAAGTGATTGGGGCAAAAAGCTCAGAGCCAGGCCCAGAGCTCAGGGCTGCCACTAACACTTCCTTGACATCTCCTAGGGAATGCTGCCCTCAGCTGCCCACACCTGCATCCTGATGGGCTGCAGAAAAGGGCTCTGTCTTCTGTGCATGGACACTCAGGCATGAAAGGAGCCACCCTCACCCCCAAAATTATTTTCCCTTGAATACCATGGAGCTGTAGAGCTCTAATAAACGATAGCTGACTTCCTAGAGCCTCCTCCAACACACTGCCTGCAGCACCTACCTTCAGCCTCTGCTCCAGGATGGAGAAGATCCGCTCGATCCCAATGCTGACCCCCACGCAGGGCACCTTCCGGCCCTTGGGATCAAACATCCCCACCAGCCCGTCGTAGCGGCCACCTCCAGCCACGCTCCCAACGCCCACCAGCTCCTCCACGTGCTCGTTCTCCTGCTGCAGCAGCACAGCCTCAAAGATCACCCCCGTGTAATAGTCCAGGCCCCGGGCCAGGCTCAGGTCGAAGGAGATCTGCAGGGCACGAGGGCGGCCCCGTCACTGGGTGCTCAGGGGGCCCCCCAGGGCAGCACCCCCTCCTGCCCCCACACCTCCTCACCTTCCCTGTGATGCCAAACAGGGTCAGGTACTCAAACAGCAGCTTCATGTCCCCCAACCCCTCCTTGGCCAGCTTGTTCTGTGACAGTTTTGGGTCCTGGAGGAGCCGCTCGATCAGGTCCAGCCCACCTGCAGGAACCAGACTTGCCTCAGGTGTGCCAGGGCAGCAGCACCAGCCACAGTGGCCCCAGCCAGCTGTGTGTGTGCCCTGTGCACCCTCCATCCCCAGAACAAGCCCAAGGGCTGGACTCCCCAGTGCTCACCGTGGAGCTGGACGTACTCCCCGATGCGATCCGCAGCCTCGGGAGAGAGCCCCTTCTCTCCCACCATCTCGCTCCTCACTTCCTCCCATGGCACCTGTGAGGGGACAGAAGGGCATCTGTTACTGCAGGACATTCTCCTCACTCACTGGTTTCCCACAGGACATTCTCCTTTCCTCACCACTGCCTCCACCAGCCCACATGAGCACAACTCTGCTGACTGTTGTCCTGCACATCTCACTAATCATCTGTCTCTCTCTCTCTCTCAGGATTTTTTAACAAACCACTGGAATCACCAGGTTTTATTCCAAGAGATCCCCGAATCCTTTACCCACGCCAACAACTTTGCTGCTGTGACCCTCTTTATGTCAAGAGGGGCCATGACACTGCCCAGCTCAAGATCAGAAGTGTCTCCCCACGAGCCCAACACTGACCTTGTCCAGCTTGTCCACGGTGGAACAGGCCGTTATGAACTTGCTCTCTGGAACACCACAGACAGCAAACACACCGTTCAAAATCCGCCTGTCGTTGACCTGGGGGAGGGAGAGGCACACTTAACTCAGGGACATCCCCCCCAGTGTCATTCCTTTGGTCCCAGTGTACGGCAATCTGCAGCTGCTGGCATTTCCACCTGCCTTTCCCATGGGAAGGGAAGGTTCAGAGGTATGAAAACCATTCCGTGACTCTGTGGTTCTAGTTGGCTGCTGGAATTTTGCAGGGGACTGTGGTTAGTCCTGGAGAGAACTCTGCCAACTGCAGACTCAAGAAACCACCTGGCATTGCCAGCTCAAGCTCAGGTCCAGCCTTTAGCATGAGGACACAGAGAGGCAGAATGAACTCCTGGATCAGGACTGAGAGTGGGAACAGGCACTGCTGTGTAAAACCCCAGGAACAATGACCACTGCTTTCCACTGTGGCACAGAGAACCCGCCTGGCCTCACCTTGATGACGAAGTCCCCAAGCTGCAGGTCACTCAGAATCTCGTGCACGATCTTCAGGCACTCGGCATCGGGAATCATCGGGTCAAACTGCCCGGCGATGTCAAAGTCCTGGGGGCAGAAGCAGCAACGGAGGCTCCTGGCACAGCTGAGGGGCTTTGGCCGGGCACATCACACTGCTCTGCAGCAGCTGGAGGTGCTCCAGCCCGGAAAACCCTCCTGCCACCCCAACACTCACGCACTGGTAGAACTCGCGGTAGCGGCCCCGGGTGGTGGCCGGGTTGTCCCTCCTGTACACCTTGGCCACGTGGTAGCGCTTCATGTTGTTGACCTTGTTCATGGCCAGGTAGCGAGCGAAGGGCACCTGGGCCCAGGGAGTTAAGGATGGGAGCAGGGAGATCCCTGGAGCTGCAAAGCTGAACCTCCCAGCCCCCCCGTCTCCCTTTGCCAGCTGCTCCCCACTATTTTTCTCAATGATGGTGGGATTTTTGGGGTGTCCTGTGCAGGGCCAGGAGTTGGACTTTGATGTTCCCTGTGGGTCCCTTCCAACTCAGGATATTCTATGATTTTTAGGGAAATCATCAGCCTGGACTGCAGATGAGTAGAATGAAGCAGCTGAGCTCCTCCAACACTGGGACAGCTCCATTCCCTCCTCCTGACCCACTCAGGACAACACTATGCACACACTGACCCTCTCTCGTCATTCCACCCTCTCACAGTGTGATCAGAGGGAATTCAGTGCACAGCACAGCCCTACAGACATTGAACAGGAGAGATTTTGGGTGAGATGTGCAGGTGGAGAAAGCCTGGGATGGGCTCCTGCAGCAAACACTTCTCCAGACAGCACTGGGAAGGTGGGATGGGCAGGGCAGAGGTGGGGACTGTAACTGGGAGGAGATAAAACCAGTACAGAGGAGCAAACTGGAGCAGGTCTGCAGCCCATGGGAGGGGCTTTGCTGTGGGTCCTGGCCTGGCTGGAGGGTGGTGTGAGATGGGGTCATGACAGTGACAGCTAGGCGGGGTGGACAAGCGGGTCCAACACCCCAGTGGGTCCTGCAGGCAGGGCAGGGCAAGGAGGACCCCACAAGGTGGTATGCCACCATCCCCTCGGGGTGCCACTGTCCCCTAGGGAGCTCAGGATACGGTGAGGTCGTAGCGCAGGGCCAGCAGCTCCCCTCCCTGGTCCTGCAGCTCGTAGATGAGCTTCGTGTCCTCCCCGTACTTCCCCATCAGCGTCTCCTGGGGAGGGACGAGGGGGCTGGTGACCAGGTGGCTCTGGGGCACAGGGTCCCCTGGGATGGGCACAGAGTTCAGTCCCCCCCAGAGCCCCTCAAGTCAAGCCGGGGTGGGCATTACACACATTCCCCCTCCAGCCCCCTCGGACCTGGGTCCACCTCCCCATCCCCCCACAGGTCCCAAGAGGGACTGTCATCCCTGTCCTCCCCACACGAGGGGTTCCCTCAGACTTGCCCTGAATCCCTGGGGGAGACAGAGCTCCCCAGTCCCACAGGAGGGAGCGGGGGGGGGGTGTCCCACAGCCCCTATGGGGGTCCCATCCTGCAGGAAGGAGCAGAGGGGGGTCCCACAGCCCCTATGGGGGTCCTGTCCCATGGGAGGGAGCAGAAGGGGGGTGTCCCACAGCTCCTGTGGGGGTCCCACTCCACACCAAGGGGGCCTTCCTGCAGGAATGAGCAGAGGGGAGGGTCCCACAGCCCCTATGTGGGTCCCATCCCACAGGAGGGAGCAGGGGGTGGTTCCACAGCCCCTATGGGAGTCTCATCCCTCGGGAGGGAGCAGAGGGGGGATGTCCTACAGCTCCTATGGGGGTCCCGTCCTGCACCAAGGGTGTCCCGTCTGGCAGGAATAAGCAGAGGGGGGGTCCCACAGCCCCTGTGTGGGTCCCGTCCCACAGGAGGGGGCAGAATGGGGGGTCCCATTCCGCAGAAAGGAGCAGGGAGGGGAGGTCCCACAGCCTCTATGGGGGTCCCGTCCCGCAGAATGGAGCAGAGGGGGGTCCCACAGCCCCTATGGGGATCCCGTCCCGCAGGAAGGAGCAGAGG